GAAGTTCTGGGAATATTCAATGCCATTGATATAACTCTTAACAAGTTTCCACGGAGAGTATTTGATTCTTATCTTCTACATTTAAATCAATAATCTGGAGACCTTGTATAAACTCTGCGAGCTTGAGCGGTTTTCTTGCCGGTTGATGATACTCCAAATTATAATATTCTTTTCCATCATAGTTCATTTCTCAATTTTTTTCTTTGGTTCACTTCTTAGTGCCTTCGACGAAACTTGCATAGATCTCATCTTGTGTCGAGATGAACTGGCATGATTATAATGCATTTGAGTTGATGAAGAGACTAGTGTGCTCGACATCAATCTCAACTCGAGTTTTGATTCTAGAGGAGATTTTCACTTGACATTGGGGACGCCCTTTAATTGTTTCAACTTGTTTGTAGTTTTTTTTAGACCCCACACACTCATTCCTCATCTTGATTTAGTTAATCTTTTATATTCTCTACAATTAATGATACAGAAGAGAATGTCATATCTTTGTTGAATCACTTTTCGAGAGAATTAAAACACTATCAGAAAATGTAAATTACTCATTTTTGTATTTTCTTTTGGGTCAATCTTTAAAGACATAGCAGACTTCAAAAGGGTGGTTAACTATCTAGTGATATGAATAGTAATTTGGATTACTGATTTGAACTGATGCTTCAAGATTTTGCATTCTGGCAAATCAAAATCAGCTTTGAGAGCTTGACGAAAAAGTTTTGACATATTATCTCTTTTAAATGAATATTTATTAATCATATTTTCTTTAAGGGACGAGTATATTCCATCTTCAGCAATTGTCCTTTAGTTTAGACGCTTTCTTCCATCAAAGGTCCTTAACTTATCATTTCCTCCCTAAATTATTTTGGTTGAGGATTGGAGTTGATCAGCTGCTTTCTTCCACTCTCATAAGGGGGTTGTACCCATTAGCTATATTTGTGCTAGATGTAGATACTGAAAGGAAGTGGCGTGAGCGTTAGAATAAGCTAGGAGATATACCTAATATGATGGTCCGTTAGGAAAAATTTGTGTAGATATTAAAATTTGTACCCATATCCACTCGAAGACAGATGCAGGGTAGAGTCATCAAGTTGGTGCAAGGAGGGAAGCAAGTCATGCAGTACTAAGCAAAATTTACTGCACTGTCAAGGTATGCACCACAGTTGATAGCTACTGCAGAAGAAAAGTGCGACTAATTCCTTTTAGGATTAAAGGATTAGATCAAATAAACGTTAATACCTTTAGAGATCGATGAATACTCGGTATTAATAGAACGACCTAGAAGAGTAGAGATCAACTATCAGCTTACTCAGAAGTGCAAGGAGATGCACAAGCGGAAGAATATTGATGAAGAAGAATAAGAAAATCAATCAGAGGGATCCAATGGGATGAAGCCAAATACAATTCGGATAGATTTTGCAGAGATCTGATTCAGAGTATTGTAGTCAATTAAGCCAGACGCGGAAGACAACATAAGAGTGAATGCTTGATGGGCTCCAACACTTGTTAATGGAGTCGTCATCCTGGATATATAATAAAATGTTGTTCATCGTTTGGCCAGAAGAGCATTGAAGATCATAAATCAGGTGGTGCTCACTCATAGAAGACTGAAGGTGGGCAAAAAAGGATCGGATTCTACCCAAGGTCAACTAAGATATCATGTTCGGCCATGACTTTATTACCTACTCATAGTGAGCCTAAAGAACCTACTGTTGATGGTGATGAGATCTGACGAGTTTGGCGTTTTCTTATAAGGGTATTTTCCTACCAACTTTCTTGCCTCAGTAACTATGTATTGTTATCCTAACTATAGTTGAGTTGCTTTATATTGGGTAAATGAATGACCCATAACTTTCATCACGAAATTTATGGATAGCTAATGTTGACCTGCTTAATGAGTTGTGACTTGCAATCCGTTTTTAAATTTTGAGGATAATTTTTTTTTAGCAGAGAAGATTATGACGCTTCATTTCATTTCACGAGGGAGTCGAAGAGAGGAAGTCGAAGAAAGGGAGAGGAAACGAATAGTTGAGCAGAGCGGAGAGGAAGAGAGGGGGGTCGAATTCAAAAATGTGAAGTTCACCCTATACATTGTCGCGTTCAACTTATCTGAAGGTTGAATGGCTCTGCGACTGGTGCCCTGGCTGATCAGAGGAAGACGAGAGAGGAAAAAGCTCTCGTGATGTGCAAGCACAGAGGAGGCGAGCACGGAAGATGAGGAAGACAAAAGAGGACTTTCCTTGTGCATGTACGGGCTTCGACCGTGCCTAGCTGACCATCAAAGAAGCGTGAGGAAGAAGGGGGAGAAGAGCGGGGACTTCAAAGTGGGAGGAGAATCCCTCATGCAATTTTCGACAAAAGAGTTAAGGGTAAGTTTATTTAATTAATTTATTTAATTTATTTAATTTATTTATTTAATAAACATTATATATGTTATAAATATAAATTTATTATTTAAATGTTAAAATTACGTGCAATTGATTCTGACTATGAAAATTCCACTTCTGAATCAAAGAAGAAGGGTTGATACTAACGAAAGATTAGAGTTTTAATTCTAAAAGAATTTTATATAAATTAATAATATTTAATATTAAAATTAATTGTCATAATTAAACTTAAAGTTTAGAATTGAAATCATAATTATAATAGAACAATACAACAATGATTGATAATTAAATTAAAATATTATTAAGCACAGTGATAATTGAATATTTTATTCTTTATAAGTGATAATTAAAAGAAGTAATATAAGTTAAAAGCAAACAGATAGTTTATCATCAAAGTGAGTACTCATACTTCTAATCTATGATAATATTTTATTTCTTCTCAAGTATTTTGCATTAATAGTTAATGATAATTGTACAAGCTTTAATTTAATTGATGTCTTTCCCTTTATTTATCACATTATTGTGAATGCTATATGCTAGTGGCTACTCACTATCATGCATTGGTTAATAATATATATTTATATTTATATTTACATTTATATAT